TAACAGATATTTAAAATAATATTTCATTAAAAATAAGACAATAGGCAATGGCTTAGCCAATGTTGGTGAAGCCTAGATCTGAACCATAGCTGTTTTTCAGCCACCTCTTAACAAATTTCACTTAAAATTAATTTCTACTGTGATGTCGATTCTGGCATGATTCTCTAAAGTTAAACTTAAATTTGACAACAGTGCATCCCTGTCATTCTCTATACAGAATGAAAAGGAGAGACTGATGATAAATTTAGTTTTAAGTTTCGAGAATCATGCCAGAATCGACACCAGTATGTGTATAACCAAGATCCTGTAACGCGTGGCCAAAATCAGAACTAATTTTAGTACCTAAGGTACAAATAGGCCTTTTATTAATAGAAGAAGGGGTAAATAAGTATTTTGCTATTAATAATCCTGATTTCACCACTTACTCACCAGCAGCGCCCTCCTGTCAATGTAATCTAAGTGCACATATAAGTTATTTATATAACGATAACAGAAATGCTCGCAGTAAAATAAATTGTCCGAAAGAGACTGATTAAGTGTCGCCGCACACGGGCCACACGCCACAACCACAAACGCCGCCACGAGAAGCTAGAAGCGGCTACTAAAGTGGCTGAAGCGCGCGACAGCGGCCGGCTAAGGTAAGGGAGAGAGGGGTGGGGAATCGCGCGAGTGACGTGTGACGGCGTTTTGTAACGGCGCATTAAGTGGCCGGTGCGGGCCACAAGAAGCGAGCAACAACGATTTGTAGCGTGTGGCGGCCACCGGCGGCGTACCGGGTGTGGTTAGTCCATATAAAATGTATGAAAACTATAAGAAATATACCGGTGGTGGCGTTTTGTGGTTGTGGTAGGTGACCCGTGTGCGGCGACACTTAGTGGCCGGAATTTTCTTTCTAATGACACCCAGTAGTGACTGGGTTCTACAAACGTCAATAATCTTTAATAAGACCGTTTTTCCTTTCTTTTAAATTTAACGGAACATATATTTTTAACTACTTTTGTTAAGGTTTATATTATTGATTTATAAAATAGCAAGTAAGCATTCCTGTTAACGTTAGGTATATAACTTCCTTGGTCACAAGGTCTTGTTCGCACTGAATTGGCGGCGACCGACTAGGGTAGCCGACCCTACTATATAATATAGTATCTTACTATATTAGAGGATAAAATACTATTTTCTAAAAAAATATGTAGTAGGCGAAACTATTATATTTTGCATAAAGCAGACTTTAGACAGTAAAAGCTTTCTTAAAAATAAAAATATGTTTATTTCAAAAATAAAGTAAATATTTTAACCACATACCTACTATATTATTTTCCATGTTTGTTGTCATCTACTATATTTTTAGAGGTATTAGCTTCGACAATACTATATTTGATAGAAAAATGTTGGTAACTCTAATACCTAATAATAATACTCTAATAACTTTCAAAAAAGAGCGTACTCCTTCCGTAAAGGCCGGCATCGCATTTGTGATACTCCTGGTGTTGCAAGTGTCCATGGGCGACGGTGATCACTTACCATCAGGTGAGCCGTCTGCTCGTATGCCCCCTATAACATAAAAAAAATAAAAAAAAACGACAGCCTGCCAGTGCTCACCCACACACGCGCATTGCTTAAAGCTTTGCCTCTTCTGTGCATTATTTACTCATGCGTTGTCGCTACCGGCGCCAGCGCACCACATTGGTCCGATAAATTTTACATAACTCACTTTCACCCGGCCCGGCCACTCGGCCACCATGTGTAAACTAGATCTGCATTATTATTATCTGCCATGTGATAAGTATTTGTTAATTGTTTTGTTTATTTTGCTGCATGTGCAAACTTTACATCAAAACTTTCCCTGATTGATATTTTGTTGTTGAAAAAACAGCAAGTAAAAATAGTTGAGAAGCTCGATGGCGCAAGTGGTTAGCGCGTTCGGCTGCGATCGTTGAAGTTAAGCAAATTTCGCAGTGGTCCGACATTGGATGGGTGACCAAAAATTTACTAACTCGAGTTCCTCCGTGCTTTGGAAGCACGTTAAGCCGTTGGTCCCGGCTGCATCTACAGTCGTTAGCACACACCAATCCGCTCTGGGCGCGCGTGGTGGGTTGTGGCCCAATCTCTTTTTTCCATCCATAGGGAAGGCCTGTGCCCCAGCAGTGGGGACATTAAAAAGCTTATGATGATGATGATGAAAAATAGTGTAAGTATGAGCAAGAGCAAAGTTACCGCTTGAATTGGAGCGCTGGTCTAGGGAAGACCGGCTAAGGAATATAGGGTCAGGGTAGAGAATAGGAGTTTTTTTTGGTTTATGTAGGCAAACGACCTGACAGTCCACTAGTAAGTACCCTTCGTACCAATATCAAATTCGAATAGTTTGCGAGTCCGAAATGTCATTCTAAAACTATATAGCTTGGCAATAATAATTTGTGAACGATTTTTTGCAGGCAAGCCTATATGATTGGTTTTGTAATTAAAATATGTTACCTATGATATAAATTTCGATTAGTTAACAGATCGGTGTAGTTACCTATATTGACTCACCTATTCACATTGGCTTGCCAGGTAGCCATGCACAGAAATAAGTAGGCAAGCCTACTTTGGCATATTCTGTGTGTTAAAAACTATCAGTTGAGATAAAACTCATCCGGTTATCAAAAGAGTGAAGGTGATGAAAGAAAATTGATTAAATTAAAAATAGCTATGAACACTTTTCGATAGGTAAGTCATCATAGGCATATTTGTTTATAAATTATATTTGATAAAAAATATGTCTCATCGAGTTATCACATTGGTGTAAGTCGATCTCCCACCGGCTCTTAGCTAAAAGACACTGCCAGATGATTAAATCTAAAGAGAATATTACTATAAAAATCCATTCACTCCAGTCTCCGAAGCATGAGCACCACAATTTACATTATATCACGTTTTTTATTGCGTCTAACTGTCAAATTCCATAGTAATTTGACGTGATAAAAACGCGATAAACGATTATAAATCATATCGCGGTGCTCATTATAAGGGCGCAGGTTTCAGGCGAGATAGCGGAATAGGTGGTTTCGAATCCTGGCTGTAACCTGGTGATGACATGATGAAATTGCGAAAACAGCAAATTTTTAGTAACATCATATAATCACACTAATATTATAAAGGCGAAAGTTTGTGAGTATGTGAGTGTGTATGTTTGCTACTTCTTCACGTCTAAACGGCTGAAGCGATTTTAATAAAATTTGGTATGGAGTTAGCTGACACCCTAGATTAACACACAGCTACTTTTATCCCGAAAAATGTTAGGTTCCAGAGGGATTTTAAAGAAACTAAGTTAACGCAGACGAAGTCGCGGGCGACCTCTAGTAAAATATATTTTTGAAAATTCAGGTGTGTACGGAACCCTCGGTGCGTGAGTTCAACTCGCACTTGGCCGGTTTTTTTTTATTAATGTAGTGAGCCTCAAAAACCCCCTCAAAAATTTCAGGCTGTGACCGCGCCTGCCTACAAATTTTATTATTCTTTATCTATCTCCTTGTCCCTATGGTCGCTCTCCCCATTCTGGGACGTACATGAAACGCCTTCGTCGCAATCCCAGTCGTCTCGTGCCCACTCTGAAGTGGTACCGCTGGCTCCAAATTGAATAGTACTCTTCTTTCTTCGCCTGGGGTCTTCATTCTTCACCTCTCGAGTCCACTCCGAATACTGTGCCATCTACGCGTGCAATCCCGCAGCTGCCTGAAGTTCGCCTCCGATCCCACAAGATGTGTGGGCCAATCAATTATTTGATAATAATAACAAATGGACATTGTATTGAATTGTTTTAGGGAAATTATAATTTGTATGCCAAATCGGGCTGATTATGGCTGTACAATTTATCACCCATCCAACTTTTAACTTGGATATCACAAATAAAGTACTTATTTGATTTAATTAAAAAAAATGACAATGTACCTACCTATAAATCTCTTTTGAAAGTTTTTTTCATGATAAACTATACGAAGCATAATTAACATCACTTTATATTAGTAATCAATAAGATGTAAGATAAAATAGCTTTTCAAGTGTACCTCTAAGTACCTACTGTATCGACCGTGAGTAAACAACATACCGCATATGAGTCGAGTGACTCTATATGAAAGCTCATAATGTTTTTCGTGTATTTACTCGACAAGGTAGGTAGTAAGTTGGTTGGGAACTTGGTTTACCTTGACACTTTCATTGAAGTTGTTTCCTTCGAAATACTAATAGGTAACTTATTTTTTTATACAAGGCGAAGCAAATTATTTTACCCCACACGATATTTAGTGGAATCCAGTTGAGAAGATACCTAGGTGATGTGTAAAATAGAATTAAATGAATATATCCTCCCTCACCATATTTACCTAGTGGTGCTTTAATTACCTACAGAATATACAAAACAAATTTCTTTGAAATAAGTAAGTACCTAATAAAAGAACGTAGTACAGTAAAGCTCTAGGCATTTAATTGTAATCATAGATCTATCTATACATGCTTCGGTCGAGTGAACGCTTAGTGAACGAGACTATTTTAATCATTTAATTTATTCAGGAAGTGTTTCAAAAATTTTAGTTCCAGAAAAGATTAAATAATAGCAATAAAATGTTTCGATTAAAAAACCATATATTTCTTAAATAATTTTAATTAAAATAATAAATTGTTTTAACCATGTAATAGGAAGCACAAGGTATTCTGTGGGAAGCACCATCTAGTGGTGCGTAGCAAGACTAAAATGACAAATATGAGAGAATTTAATATTGATTACGGTGTCTAGATGGCGCCACTGAATAGTCTTTTTTTATAATCACTTATTACGATAGTAATAATTGAGAAACAAATAAAGCTTATCTACTAAAAGTATTCATATAAACTTTTTCGATTTGGATTTTACTTAAATTTTATGAAACCAAATAAAAAATCTTAATGTATCATAGACATGGCACATATATAAAATTATAAAACATCGACCTGGCAACTTCGCGCAAAAAACTCTATAGTTTATGACACACCCGCCGCAAGTGACAGTTCACGAGTGAAATTTTTGGAAATTATGAAGTAAAATATTTTCTATTTACGGTGTTTAAATGACAGCAGGAAAAGAAAACATGGGGTGAGTAGTATTTATTATAATATTACTTAGACATTTTATTACTTTTCACTCAGTCGAATATTTAGGGGAGGAAAAGACACGATTCGCATCGACTTGTTATTTTTAGGGAGGGGATGCATTTTACCAATGCAAAGGGATATTTCTGGCTGCTACTGGAAAAATCTAACATAAATTGGACGTAGTTACGCGAAAACGTTCCAACCCACAGCGACCCCATTTTGAGATAAACGCAATTTTGTGTTTTAGCGGTACACTTTTTCCCTGTAATTATTTCAGGCAAATACTATTGGTGTTACTGTGGAATGCCAAATTGGTTATTGAATGATATGCATATTTTTTGTAAATACATAATACAAGGGGCATATAAATAGGTAAAACGAGTTTGAAACGTTTTCGCTAAATTTAATTTTGTATGAACCTTGTTAAATAGCAATTATGCATAAACGTTCCAGAACGAATTCAAGTGTATTATTTTATAAATATATCTAAAATAAATATGTAAAATAATGAATAACAATGAGGAACATACAAAAACAACAAAAATTTGAAAATGTATTACAAAAAAAATAGAACGTGATCTTTTGAGCTTTGAACCTATGCCAATTTGCTGATATGGTTCCAAAAGTTATCAAAAACTTATATTATAAACATTCAATTTTCATCATCGTATTCTATGATCTCGAAGTCCGGAACTCCACCAAACCCATCAACATCATCAGTGCTTCTTCAGAACAGAAGGCAATCCACTTCCTGTGCACCTCTTCCTACCTCTCCTTCTACCAATACATAACAATGCCCAGTATCATTAGATGCACTATGGATACCACTATTGTAGAACTAAGTAAAAAAGTTAAACCTCTTCAAGTTTACAAAATGACAAAGAATGATTTTATAGTACAACTAAACTGGAAAAGAATATTATCAATAGGAAGAAGTTTACAGACTCATCTAAAGTTAGTTGGCTACATACATAAGAAATTAAGTTGGATAAAGATATGATTTTTTCTATTTTTATGCGGTCTACGATGGAAGACGATTTCAATGAGTTGAAAATTGATAAAAGAATAAAACGAGAACTGCAATACATAAAAGAATCTGATTTTTGCTTATTGTGGCCTAACGACAAACCGATTGCTCCAGCGAAATTAGTGGACTTACAATCCATGTACCACTACATACCCGAGGATTGCCTTCAATTTTATAGAACGCTTCAAAGTTCTGAAGAAGCACTGATGATGTTGATGGGTTTGGTGGAGTTCCGGACTTCGAGATCATAGAATACGATGATGAAAATTGAATGTTTATAATATAAGTTTTTGATAACTTTTGGAACCATATCAGCAAATTTTTGGCATAGGTTCTAAACTCAAAAGATCACGTTCTATTTTTTTGTAATACATTTTCAAATATTTTTTTTGTTGTTTTTGTATGTTCCTCATTGTTATTTATTATTTTACATATTTCTTTTTGGTTTATTTTTATAAAATAATACACTTAAATTCGTTTTGGAAAGTTTATGCATAATTGCTATTTAACAAGGTTCATACAAAATTAATTTAGCAAAAACATTTCAAACTCGTTTTACCTATTTATATGCCCCTTGTATTATGTATTTACAAAAAATATGCATATCATTCAATAATCAGTTTGGCATTCCATAGTTAAACCAATAGTATTTGCCTGAAATAATTACAGGGGAAAAGTGTGTAAATTGCGTTTATCTCAAATTGGGGTTGCTCTGGGTTGGATCATTTTCTCGTTACTACGTCCAAATATACCATAGTTATTTATTTTGGTAAAAAATATCTTTTTCTCTAGAACATACTTAATAGCAAAAATGGATCAAGTATATGTGGATTGTTTATAGCAAAAAATTAGAAAATAATATATTATAATAAAAGGTTTCAATTTATTTAGAACAGTGTTCGCAGCTTAAAAAAACAGTATGGATTAATCTAAAAGGTTTCAAATTACATGGAACATTTTTGCAGAAATAAAAAATGTATAATGATTTTGCAAAAACGTTCCAACCCACATGGATCATTTAAGAAACCATTAAATGTGCGTTTTATGAATTTAGTATAATGTTCCAAGACAAGTGGAACATTATAACGATATGTTATTCTATTAAGAGTTTTTAACAATATGTTTCAGTATGCATGTAATGTTTTTACTTTATTTTGAGTACACGTCCTTGGCATAATGGTGGGTTGGAACATTTGGGTTAAACTTTATTGATGAAACTAACCTAAAAATACTAGCATCTTTGTGTGCACATGATGTAATATGTCAAAAATAGTACCCTGGTTATGGTAACTCATTTTCGAGTGACTTGTGGGTTGGAACGTTTTCGCGTAACTACGTCCAATTGTCCTTGGCGCACTAATAGCGCTGTAATTTAATTTATTCCACTCGTTAATTGGTGATTTCCGTTCCATTTGTGGCAGTCGAGTACATATGTGCATAATATCTGCGCTCAGTCGGGTCTTTGCACATCGATTGCATACGATTCAGTGCTTTTACCTCGACGTTAAGGTCGTCGGGTCGGAGGCCGCTATTAATAATGTCAGAACTTGTACGGTTCATTGAGCTAAAGATGTTTATACGCCGAGTACACTAACACACGTAATTTGGTCTAATTCAGAACATCGCGTGCGATACGTGGTCAGTTTCCGCGCATTACTTTTTCACACCTATCCACTTAGCTGAGCACTCTTTATGAGCTAATCAAATGATGTGTAACACACTATGATAGACTTGAATTATTTTATAGGTACTTCACATAAATGTAAATATTTATCACCAATTTATTTCGGAGCAATTTTTAAAGATTACACTGTTTTTTATTTATTTTGTACATTAAAAGAACATACTCATAATAACACTTGAGTATTTTTTCATATCCTTTCTCAGCCTAATCTCACGGAACACTTCAGAATTTGGCACACTGTCTTATCATAACTGGTGTGTTGACAGCTGTCAAGATAATATTGTTTATCAACAAATGGTCCATCCATTTTAGGGAGCTAAATTTTTTTATGATAAGCTCACTTCAAAATCATGTGAGTCATTTGGTCAGCAACATAAAGTAGTATTCAAAATGTCACCTTATGAAGATTACGTTTTGTAAGTGTAATATGTTAATATTATGTATATTTTAGTAGTGTTTCATTCCTCTTCATGGGTGTGTGTAAAGCTTGATGTTTGTGCTAAAAATATAATTATCTTGCTTCAGTGTAATACTTCAATCAAACAATTGTATTTCCTTAAACTTCTCTTAAGTATAATGGTGAATCATTACTCACACAAAAATATTTGTCTATGTCTCTGAGCAATGATTGCATGAAACCGTTGTTTTGAACGTTGGTTTTAATGAATAATCAATGGTTTTCACAAAGTGTAATTTGGATGCTGTGTTCAATCATGCAATTATAATATAATTAATAGATTTTATTACTATTATTTTAAAAGACTGGTACACAGGCCTTTGCATGTGGTTGGAATAAGAAGAACAGGCCAAAGTACAAGTATTACATGATCAGTCAAATCTGTGAGCATTAACAACTTAAGATGTAGCTGAGACCAATAGCTTGACATAGTTTTCGACACAGGGATGATCTAGAGATAATAATAGTTTTGGTCACCCATGCTACATCTGCCAAATGAAAGTTGTTCAGCTCCCACAATCATAGATATAGTACTATAAAACAAATTGATTCCTGACCCAGTTGCCGTATCAATTGCTTAAAAATGTCAAAACAGATAAGTTTAAACAGATAATTAATGTGCAATTGCACTAAGGATCTTGTAATAACAAGGAAACTGTATTAAGAAATATTATAAAGATCTTTGAAATTTTTGGGCTTTGTTTTAAATGAATAGATCTTATTGATAAAAGTCAAATGAAGTGAATATTTTGAATATCTAAAATCAGTTCTATAGTACAACCTTCTATAGTCCTGTCTTTTTTTGGGGTCAAATGTTTGAACCAGTTTTATTGTTTTCTTCTATATTTATGTTTTGGAGGGTGCTGTATCCGAATATGCAGTCAGAGTTTAATTTTTACCATTTAGCTTTGAGTGATTAGCCAATATATGGTGTCCAAAGTAACCCGATTCTATCGACAGTTTACATCGAAAATCATGTACCCTATCGATAGGCCTATCGATAGTTTCGATACTATCGATTGTATCGATTCTATCGATAGGCCTATCGATAGGGTACATGATTTTCGATGTAAACTGTCGATAGTTTTCATATCGATAGTTCAGCAACATTAAGCCAATCCTTCCTTCACTCCCTGCGAGGCGCATCTCACGTGCACGTATTGCTATTTGTTTTTGCATGGACGAGTTAGAGATCATGCCGAAATCAATTAAATGGAAAAAGTTATTGAGTTGGTTAAATCTTGGACATGATAAAAAAAATGACTGCAGCCATATACGAGAAAGAAGTTGTTATTTTAGATGATTGAATTATAAATAAAAAATATTTCGATAGAATCGAAAAATCATAGTATTTTCTCTTTATTCTGCACGGTAATTTACATGGTATTTTTTAATTCTATACAGGGTAATTTGGCGCCGTATTTTTAACCTGTCAACACGGTAGTGTATAATTTTAATCTGGTAACACAACAAAAACTGTGACTGACAAAACTTTGGAATATGTTGTCGTCAGCAGTGTTTTCGGACCGATACGACCCAAAAACCTTCAACAAAAGAGCGTAATTCTTCCTTAAAGGCCGGCATCGCCTTAGTGATACTCCTGGTGTTGCAAGTGTCCATGGGCGGTGGTGATCACTTACCATCAGGTGAGCCGTCTGCTCGTAACATAACATAAAAAAAAAAAAACAATTACCGAGCGCGACAGCGTTATCGCTCATATCTGTATAGGCCTTAAAGAGGTTTATTAACGACACCGGCTCTAGCGACGGTTCAGGGCCGGTACAGGTGTACAAACCGTGCTCGTGAACAAGTTTAGCTGGATCGGCCCTGGTAGTAATCGTGTCGTTTAGTTTAGTTTCGTTTTTCAGGGCGTTTTCCGCACTTAGTCCTAATTATTGGACCATTGTGCGTGTCTCAAAAAATTTCCATTTACTCCAGCCAGCCTATATCAGTCCAAAAGGAAAGCAGCCTTGGTAGACTACTGCAAGCTTCCAGAAGTGATTCTGGCGACTGGAGAAGTCGTTGTGTCGTTAACAAGCGGCCCGATTTAAAGCTCGTGTTATCGGATACTATGATAAGAGCACGCTTTACTTTATTGTGACGACGAATTTTCGTGCAGTTTATAATGGCATGAATAAGTAGAGTTGAAAATCATCGTTATTTTAAAAAAAATAGCAGAAAAGTCCGATTCAGAATTTTTCATGCTCTCTTAATAGTCTCTTCGGTGTCGTGTGAGGCGGGTCGTTACGTTCCCTAAAATATGGTTGAGCGAAGCGATGGCTGGTTCATGCGTCATGCTCGTGAACGGGTGCTGCCAGCGGAGATAAGTCTGCCCTAACTTCCTTAATATTGAAGTTAATGTTTAGTCACACTTAATATAAATTACACTATTTGTATTTATACTGTATGACATAGCAATTAAAATGCAGGTAAACAATTAATGTATATTTAATCATTATGTTATTAAAGGTGACTTCATGAATCATCTCTGACGTCATTTTTTTTAATGGTAACTCCTGGTCTGAATTATGGACCAAAATGCTTAAATTATCCAGAAATAGATAGAGGGTATCAAAAGCTTCAATTTTCCCTGCAATCTCCAATTTTCTTTTAATATGCGATGTAGCACCCTCCTTGCTCTTATCAAAAAAACAAAACGATGTGAAATGTGAACAGTGCATCCGCACAGATAGCGGAGAGTGCGGGTTCGAATCATGTCTGCTGCCTGGTCCACGTGTTTTTTTTTAGTAAAATTTTCTTTTGATTTAAACATCTAGCAGTTAAGTACTTAAAAATAAAAATTTCATTTAAAAGAAAAAAAATAGTAGCGATTTATATGAAAAAAAAAAAAATTTACCCCTGGAATCGGGTTACTTTGGACACCATATATTGGCTAATCACTCAAAGCTAAATGGTAAAAATTAAACTCTGACTGCATATTCGGATACAGCACCCTCCAAAACATAAATATAGAAGAAAACAATAAAACTGGTTCAAACATTTGACCCCAAAAAAAGACAGGACTATAGAAGGTTGTACTATAGAACTGATTTTAGATATTCAAAATATTCACTTCATTTGACTTTTATCTATAAGATCTATTCATTTAAAACAAAGCCCAAAAATTTCAAAGATCTTTATAATATTTCTTAATACAGTTTCCTTGTTATTACAAGATCCTTAGTGCAATTGCACATTAATTATCTGTTTAAACTTATCTGTTTTGACATTTTTAAGCAATTGATACGGCAACTGGGTCAGGAATCAATTTGTTTTATAGTACTATATCTATGATTGTGGGAGCTGAACAACTTTCATTTGGCAGATGTAGCATGGGTGACCAAAACTATTATTATCTCTAGATCATCCCTGTGTCGAAAACTATGTCAAGCTATTGGTCTCAGCTACATCTTAAGTTGTTAATGCTCACAGATTTGACTGATCATGTAATGTACTTTATCGATAGAATCGATACAATCGATAGTATCGAAACTATCGATAGCACAGAACAAGGCAATACTATCGAATGAGTGCAATAGTATCGATACTATCGATACTATTGTAGTTCGTTAATAACAAACTATTGATAGTATCGATACTATCGATACCGTTGATTTTATCTGCAACAATACTATCGATAGTATCGATACTAGCGATTGTTTTAGACTATCGATAGTCTACAAATTTGCAATAGTATTAGGTATGTTTTAACAGTATTGTAGTTGAGGACTATTAGAGGCCGATATATATATTTTTATAAACATTTCTATCGAGCTGTGCTAATTCTAATAGTTGATTGTGATTGACTATAATACCTGTAAATTGTAAACAATACTATTGCAAATTGTTAAACTATCGATAGTATAGTTGCAAATAAAATCGACAGTATCGATACTATCGATAGTTTGTTATTACCGACCTACAATACTATCGATAGTATCGATAGTATTTCACTCATCCGATAGTATTGGCTTGTTCTGTGCTATCGATAGTATCGATACTATCGAGAGTATCGATACTATCGATAAGCCGATCGATTGTCATACGATTGGTCGGCTATCGATAGACTATCGATTAATCCTCGATAGTCGACTATCGATCGGCAACACTAGATTGGCTGGATGCGGGGAGGGGGCGGTTATTTGTATTTGCCACGCACCGCCCGGCGCCGCGCTGCCGGCGATATCGCGTACCGATTCGGTATCGCTACCGAACGCGACAGCGTTATCGCTTATATCTGAATAAGCCTTTAGTGTTCCACACTTAACTAACGACCGGAAGTAGACACGGTGTAAAGGTATCATGCCGAGAGGGGCCCGCAAACCGCAAACTGCCACCGCTAACTGTAATGACACCACTTGCTTCTCTAAAGTTGACATAGAGGTCCGATTTTAAAAATCCGGAAGGTGCTTAAGAAAATAGCAGTATATGTATGGTAAGAGCTACAAGAAAATGGACGTGTACGTTTTTTACGATTTGCACCTTCCTAGAATAGTTAAATCAAGATATAGGCCTGTAACGAATGTTTTTGTGGCTTCTGCCGCCCCTCAAAGCTCTTTTTTAGACAACATTATTTTTTTATAATTAAGGTTACGTACATTCTTAAGGAAGGAAAACGCAACTCAACATACAATTTAAAAAAGAAAATCGTATTCTAGGAAAAACAGTACATTCATGTAGAAAGACAGAAGAACAGGAGAAATTTCAGAAAAACGAGATCTGTAAAATCGGGAGACCAGACAACCCTGGGCGACACTGCGGTTCTATTCATTGTGCGATCGCGGCATGTCGTCGTGCTGGTAAAGGAAACCACGACCACAGGCGTCCTGTCTCGGAATTGTACCTTGAAACCGGCAGAAAATCGTCTTGTCAACAAGCGTTTTTACGGTCTTACTTGTTGCTAGGCTAATAGGGGTGATGACACAGATGACGGGGGTACAGTAAACGAAATTCCATTTAGTCCGTCAGTTAGATGATCGAAAAATAATGGACACGTATTTTTTCTTTGGCCAATCAACCAAAAAATGACAAAGTTATAGCGCGTCAAAGTTTAGGAGTAGGTGCTCGTGACGTCACTTTTTAGTGAATTTTCACTTAAAAGTGTACTCAAACGTGAGGTCATGAGACTTTTCAAATCAATATATCTCTGCAATGTTTATATTATGTGAAAAAAGAAAAAAATACGTGTCCAATACTTTTTGATAATCTACCTGATAAACGAAGAAAAAAAAAATTAGTCATCATCCCTATTGTACCTTGAAACCGGCAGAAAATCGTCTTGTCAACAGGCGTTTTTACGGTCTTACTTTGGGGCTAGGCTAGGTGAGACCGTAAGAAATCTTTATTTAGATATTTATTGTTATTGTCGCCAGTGAGCAGCCAATCTTCACGTGCAAGGCTCACGTGTTCCACATAGACCCGAAGACCAAGCGCTCGTGGATGTCGGCCAGCTCGGCCGCCGTCTCGGTGTCCTTCTTCTATGACTCCTCGCGGAACCTGTACCGCATCATCAGCGTCGAAGGCACTAAGGTAAGAGCCTTTATTCCCACGAACTATGTATTATATCGAGCTGCTCATGCTGGGAGGGGCTAGTCAATAATGTTATATAAAGGCAGATAAAAGATGTTATATAGTTATAAGCGCGCACGCTGAGAACACTCGAAAACAGGTTTAAAACGCAATTACTATGAACGTAAAATATTTATAAAAATAATATATAATATTATAAAAATAATACTTTCACATTGGATTCCCGGACAGGTTGGATTCCCCTTTTAATAAGTGTGAGAACACTTGTGCCAGGGAAAGCCATTCTCCCATAGCTTAAAGTGGTTATATAAAATACAGCCAGTGCCGTGTTAAATAAGTACATACAAACATTACTTATGCTAATTTTTTGACTACCTTCGTGGCCGTGTGGTTTTTACGCATGTGTTGTCATGGTGTCGCCGATTCGAGAGGTCACGGGTTCGAATCCCGGTGGAGGCAGATATTTCTGTGATGAATACGCGCAATTGTACTACAGACATGGATGTGTGATATGTATTTACGGCGACCTCCGTGGCCGAGTATACGCCGGGTTTCATGGTCTCGCCAACTCGAGAGGTCCCAGGTTCGAATCCCGGTGGGGGCAGATGTTTGTGTGATGAATACGTGCATTTGTACTCCAGTCATGGGTGTTTAATATGTATTTCTATATAAATATACTTCTATATGTACAGTATATGTATTCAATCCGTTATCCTAGTATCCCATAGCACAAGGTCTAGGCTAATTGGTGTGTGTTGGTAATATTTATTTATTTATTTTAATAGCAAATCGTATGTTTCTTACAAATAAGGAGTACATGCAAACTATTAGTTCTATTCAATGTGGTAAATTTACAATTACTTAGTTAACAAGCTTTAATTTTCTAAAATAACGTACTCGTATCATCGTATAATACGCCATAACGTACGCTCGCATAGGAGCTTACGGTGTCGTCAATATTGCGATGCATTGTAAAATGCCATAAAAGCACATTTATTGCACCTTGTAGCTAGCTATAGCTTATAAAATTTTTTGGTAGTAGTAGTGGTCCAAGTTTTCAGAGCCTTTCTGAGTTACTTTATCATGGTGCTATTGAAATGTTCTTTCGTCTCCGCTTTCTTCCGATGTTGAGTTAAGACACTTAGGCCGTATACAGAAAGATCGGCGCTTATCGGCGCCTGTAGACGCTGATCCTTTTTCTATGGACCGGCGCCGATAAGCGCCGACACGCGCTGGTCCGAATAATAAATAATTTGTATTTGAATTATTATCCTTAGATTAAATCAATCTAAGTTATAATCTTTTTATAAATCTAATAACTTAATCTTTTATTAACTAAGCGCTAAAATTATTTGTTTCGTACTTACCGAATGGTGACAACAAGTCTTTCTTCTGGAAGGATTGATTGTTTATGCCAATTGCACCAATTTTTCGTCAAACGGTTTTTCACTAAATCCAAAATGTAATAAGATGTTTCTTGAATCATTCTTGTATATGTATAAAATCTTTGTTCATCAAATTTCATTTTTTTTACAAATAAATGATGGTATTCTCCGAAACGTTTCCTTTCTCTATTTATAGGATGTATAGCTGTTTTTCGCATTTTTAAATAAACATTTTCTAACAAAACCAAATTATCGTCCGATGAGTCCGACATTTTGCTTGATCTGCTTTAATCGGCTTCCTTTATGTAGGAAGGATCGGCGCCGATAAGCGCCGATCGGCTTTCGGCTTTCTTTCTGTATACGGCCTTATGGGCGGTTTAGACGAATTTCACATGAAATTAAATTTGACAGATTTCTATGAGAATATCGTTTCATTTATGTATGTTACAACGACCTCCGTGGCTGACTGGTATGTACGCTGGGTTTTAAGGTGTCGCCTGCTTAGAGGTCCCCGGTTCGAATCCCAGTGGGGGCAAATTTTAGTATAACGAACACGAGCATTTGTACCGTAGTCATGGATGTTTATATACATATATTTCTGGATAAAAATATGTATTAGTATATGTATTCTATCCATTACCCTAGCATCCCATAATACAAGCCTCACAGTTACTTTGGGACTAGGACCTAGGCTAATTGGTATCATCATCACCATCAGCCTATTCACGTTCCCACTGCTGGGGCACAGGCCTTCCCTATGGATGGAATAGGGAGATCTCGCCATGACCCACCACGCGGGCCCCAGTGTGGATTGGCGGGTGCTAACGATTGCAGATGCAGCCGGGACCAACGGCTTAACGTGCCTTCCGAAGCACGGAGGAACTCGAGATAGAAGATTTTTGGTCACACATCCAATGACCGACCACTGCGAAAGTTGCTTAAGTGCAACGATCGTAGTCGAACGCGCTAACCACTCATGCCATCGAGCTCCTCAATATTAACATTTATTATTTACTAGCGGCCCGCCCTCGCTTCGCTTCGGTGTAGAGCTGAAGTGTAGATTACAGTTTTTGTTCTCAGGCTTGTATTATACACAATGACATTCATCTATGATTCTTCTTATACCTGCATGCAGAGTCTCAGCCTGATCGGTTTAAAATTGACAAAGTTTCATACAAAGTTTCATTCCCTATTTTATCCTCTTGGGGGTAGAATTGATCAAAATCCTTTCTTAGCGTATGCCTACGTCTTAACATCTACCTGCATAATTTTTTTTATTATTTTTAAAGCATGTAACTGCTTGATGTTTAAATCTAAAGAAAATATAACTAGAAAAAGTTCCACGCGGACCAGGCAGCAGACGGGACTCGAACCCGCACCCTTCGCAATCCGGGCGAATGCACTGACCAATTATGCTACCGCGGCCCTTACGGACCGCGTCGAAATTCTTTCTAGCTATTCTTAAGCTGCAAGGCGAAGAGATGGCGCTGCCTTGCAGCTTAAGAATAGCTAGAAAGAATTTCGACGCGGTCCGTAAGGGCCGCGGTAGCATAATTGGTCAGTGCATTCGCCCGGATTGCGAAGGGTGCGGGTTCGAGTCCCGTCTGCTGCCTGGTCCGCGTGGAACTTTTTCTAGTTATATTTTCTTTAGATCTACCTGCATGCCAAATTTCAGCCCGATCCGTCCAGTGGTTTGGGCTGTGCGTTGATAGATCACTATGTCAGTCAGTCACCTTTGAGTTTTATATATATAGATTTATTATATAATGGTGATTTTTTGTATCTGAGGGTTGCTTATTTCATCCGAGTGTCTGTATTCTTCCACAGGCCGTCATAAACAGTACCATAACTGCCAACATGACGTTCACGAAGACCTCCCAGAAGTTTGGGCAGTGGAGCGACGTGCGAGCCAACACTGTGTATGGGCTCGGTTTTGCCTCAGAAGCCGAGTTGGGCAAGGTGAGGTGGCATTTCATGAGTTTGAGGGATTCACCTTAGACCAGCTACTCACATTCTTTCCGCAGGGGCAATTTTCTACATTTGAATTGCCTCTGCTAGCTTACAGAGGGGAAACTAGCCAATCATTGGCACTCTTCCTATTATTGGCACTTTTGAGTTTAGTTCGATAAAACCAGGAAACAATAGATTATAGGAATAATACTGCCAATTTTCAAATTTCGTAACCATACTGGATTTTTCTTTTTAATATGTAAGGACCTTGAATAATCTATTGTCTCTTTGTTTTTGAAGTGAAACTTCTTTATCGGCGTTGGAAAAAAATTTACCGTCACATTTTTATTCGGTTACGCGTCACGTTTTTTGGTTACGCGCCATCTTTTACTATTTACCTCATCCGAACAATTGCTTCTTCTGTCAACTTTAAAAAAAAAGTATCGACAGCAAATATTCGTGTTTCACACAAGGTAAGGTAAGGTAAGGTAAGGTAAGGTAAGGTAAGGTAAGGTAAGGTAAGGTAAGGTAAGGTAAGGTAAGGTAAGGTAAGGTAAGGTAAGGTGTAGCTATACCCCTTTAGTGGGTGAGTTTTTGAAAAATCTTAGCGCACGCCTATATATATATTTCTGGAAAGTTGCATGTAGATCATTTTTCGAAAAAAATAAGGCCATAAAGAAGTTTCACTTCTTACGTGTGTACACTAGTACACGCACACATTTTTTTTTCGAATTAAACTCAAAAGTGCCAATGATTGGGTGGTTACCCCTACATCATAATTTAAGATTGCTAGATTGCCTCTGCGGCAGGAATGCGCGTACCCGACTATCTTGAAAGTTGGAGGGTAACTCGGCGAAGGCTGAAACGCTACGACCGTCACGAGCGTCACACGTATGAGTGATGCGTGCACTGCTTCAATCCCTATGCCTTATGCACCGCCTAATTTTAGGTAATTTAAGAAAAGAAGTTTCACATCCGATGTGTGGTCCATGCACATCATTTTTTTATTATTTCGAAATCCATACTAATATTATAAAGTGTATCTGTTTGTTTTAAACTTTCATGGACACTAAGATTATAGTAATATAAGTTATTTACGGGATTGTTACCATGTACCTTGTTTTTAGCGAGTTTCCGATATTTCGGCACTTTTGCAAGCGCCATGATCACGGAGTAACTGAAGTAATTGTGGGTAGGCTGTGGTTTGCATGTGTAAAACCGGAAATAATCAAAAAAGTGTCGTGTCGCGATCCGATACTGTAAGTGTTGTGTGTCGAGAACAGTTTCGAGTGAATAGTGAGAATGTGAACAGTGGTACGGGTATCGAACGCAATAAAAGGCTTCGTCGGAGGGTACACCGATATGTCTGCCAATAACAGCCTACCCGCAATTACTTCAGTTACTCCGTGATCATGGCGCTTGCAACAGTGCCGAAATATCGGAAACTCGCTAAAAACAAGGTGCATGGTAACAATCCCGTAAATAACGTATATTACTATAATGTATCTGTCTGTCTTGTCTGTTACATCTTCACGTTTAAACCGATTCTATACAGATACCTAGTTTAAGTCCGGAAAAGGACATTTTATCTCAGAAATTATCGTTTAAACAGATGAGAAAGGGGGTGGAAGTGAGAATGGAAATCTGATTTTATGGCGGGCTTATCTTACTTGTTTCTAATAATAATTCTTTGTTTTCAACAGTTCATAGAGAAGTTCCAAGAGGTGAAAGAAGCGATACAGGCGCAGCAATGCGGTGGGGCTGCCAACAAAGGCGTTGCTAATGGCAACAGTGGCGCTTGCACGCCAGTCGCCAGTGCCACTGCCAGCCCGCTACTGGCGGCGCGGGCACAGCCCGACGAGCCCTGCGTATCGCCTGCTCAGGTGAGTAACCTACATCGCGCTAACGAAATTCGCAGACGCAACAATATAAACGGAGCGCGATCAACTCAACGTCGGAGGGGCCTCTCAGGTTCGAGTGGTCTAGAGGCTCCAGACGTAGAGGAGACTCCCCCCGAGGGGAGATGCCATCCTCCTGGAATATCTCTAGAGGCACTCGACTTGAGGTCCCTTAGGATCTCGCCGTCCCCAAACTCGGTGACGCTTTAAAAGTCATCTGCGACCAACGGCCTACACCTCCATAGGCCTTCATATAAGGTTACGAAGGTGTTGCTAATTGATATTTTTACAAGGGGCATATAGGTAGGCGTAGCCGCTATTACAATCGTTGCTAAAAGCAACGATGAGCCTTGCATATCGCCCGCCTACATCGCGCTGACGGAATTCGCAGGTACAACAATATATAGTGAGGTCAACCAGCAATCCAGGAAAGGAAGACCTTGATTTTAGGCCTTTTATCCTACATCGAGGAGCTCGATGGCGTAATGCTAGCCATAAACACTACGAGAAATCGTTACGATCAGACGTATAGTTCGAACGGAAGAGTTTATCGTACGTGGCGTACGTATAGGAAACTGTGCAGTTTTATAACATACACGCTACGATTTATCGGTACCGTTCGGACGGTACAGTCTAATCGTAACGATTTCTCGTAGTGTGTATGACTACCATTAGGTGGTTAGCGCGTTCGCCCTACGATCGTGGAAGTTAAGCAACTAACGCATTGGTCGGTCATTGGATGGGTGATCAAAAACTTTTTATCCAGAGTTCCTCCGTGCTTTGAAAGGTATGTTCAGCCGTCGGTCCCTGCTGCATATGCAGTCCACACTGGGCCCGCGTGGTGGGTCATGGCCCAATCTCTCTCTATTCCATCCATAGGAAAGACCTGTGCCCCAGCAGTAGGCTTAATAGGCTGATGATGACGATAAATTCGTAGTTAAGAGTCGCCAATTATTCAGCTTGTAGGTCTTCCCACACGGCGATACGGTCGCTAATGGCAACATTGGTGTTTGTATTGCAAGTGCCACTGACAAATTGAAAAAATGTGTGCGTGTATTAGTGAACACACGTAAGAAGTGAAACTTCTTTATGGCCTTATTTTTTTCGAAAAATGATCTACATGCAACTTTCCAGAAATATATATATAGGCGTGCGCTAAGATTTTTCAAAAACTCACCCACTAAAGGGGTATAACTACACCTTACCTTACCTTACCTTGTGTGAAACACGAACATTTGCTGTCGATACTTTTTTTTTAAAGTTGACAGAAGAAGCAATTGTTCGGATGAGGTAAATAGTGCTCTTTTAAAAAAAAGATGGCGCGTAACCAAAAAACGTGACGCGTAACAACAAAATGTGACGGTAAATATTTTTCCAACGCCGATAAAGAAGTTTCACTTCAAAAAATATCGATTAGTCCAAAAACATGGATGTTTTCGGTGGGTAATAAAACTGACCTTCAGTATTGTTGAATTTATTAATTATATTTCCGATTCGATGCGCTTCGACTCTGCGCTAGTACAAATTGACCCTTAATGCCCAACAGCTGGGGTACTCGCCTACCCTATAGTACAGTTAATCTGTATGTTGAGTGGTGAAAAAAAAACCTAAAGGGTAAGTCTTGTTTTTTCTGTTGCCTAATGACGTCAGTAAGCCACCTTGGAGATGGGCATGTTCAAATCGTAGGCGTTTTTTGAAAAACTCAAAAAAAAACATCAAAAAATTTTTGAAACGCATTTTTCTTGGTTTGTATGCATTTTAGAAACTTTGTTTTCGACTATAATTGTAGAGGGCGTTGAGTACTACAATTTATGTCGTTGTTGCAATCTCGTACAACAAAAAATGCGCATTGTAGATGGCGCTAAAGTCTCAAAAAAGTGTTTTTTCACTTTTTCACCCTGAAAATCTCTATCTATTAGACAAGTCCGCCCGTCCGTCTGTGGTGCTGTTTCAGCGGCCAAACCGTAAGAGATAGATAAAGAGAATATTTAAGTTATAAGTTAAGAATAGTCTGATAAGACTACAAACCGGATTTGAGTAATATAGCACTTCCGGTTTTCGAGAAATCACGAATTTCAAACGAAACCACACAAAATCTCCGAAGTTCTCAATTAATTAAATACATTTTTTTTTTAAATCAGGTTTTGGTGAACATTTGGTTCACTGGTTTGCTAGTATCATTTTAATGGAAAACTTTAATTGGAAAAGTTGTTCCGTACATAATTACCAACAACTTTTTGTATAAACAATTTTTTTAAATTACTTACAGTTTTTTTTCTCTGAAACGATTTTTTTTGACAGATTGACTGTACTACTATGAATGGAACAGGGGGGATGATTGAAGGGTGTTATGCTAACAATGCAACCGGAACCAATGGCTTCCTTACGAAGCTTGGTATGGTGGAAGTCCTATGATCAGCCAATGCAAAAGTTGCTCAACTTCCGTGAATATTGAACATTGCCGTTGTCGCTTGAGCTATTGATTTTACTTCATAAACAACTTGCTGCGGAAAACCTGAAGCATCCTTACCATAGCCACTTGCCGCTCTTTTTTGTTTGACTGAGGCCTAGCCAGTGACGCATGGAGGGTAACGAGTAGGGCGAGTACATCTATAGCAAGTAGGAGTATACGTTAATGCACGAAACATGTTCCAATATTAATTATCATAAAATAATGGATAATTCGAGGCTCTCTATATTATTAATTTTAAGTAAAATTTGTTAAGGGGTGGCTGAAAAACAGCGTTGGTTCAGGTCTAGGCTTGACCAACATTGGCTGAGCCATTCCCTATTGTCTTATTTTTAATGGAATTTTTATTTAAATATCTGTTGTAACATGTAAAAAAAAGACAATAAATATTATTATTATTATTATTGAGCTCCTTTGCTCTTGTACATAAATCTTTACTTCCTCTTCGACGACCTCCGTGGCCGAGTGGTTTGTACGCCGGGTTTCATGGTGTCGCTTACTCGAGAGGTCCCGGGTTCGAATCCCGGTGGGGGCAGATGTTTGTGTGATGAATGCGAACATTTGTACTCCAGTCATGGATGTTTAGTATGTATTTCTTTATAAATATTCTTATATATGTTCAGTATATGAATTCTATCTACGTTACCCTAGTATCCCATAACACAAGCTTTACAGTGCTTACTTTGGGGCTAGGCTAATTGGTGTGAGTGTTGGAAATATTTATTATTTTATATATTAAATATCACTAATGAACGAATATTCATAGATTTATATTGTTTCAGCCACCAAAACCGGAGAATGATGAGATGATGGTACACCAGAGAGCACATTCTGTTTCATCGTCATTGCAGGTATATATAATACATTATGTTCAAATATCATTAACAAAACCGTTCGCGCTGTTTGTACGCTTAGATCTTTTAAACTACGCAATGGAATAGGGTATTTGACAAGTTTTAGAAAACGATCTCACGTTATTGACTAATGTTTATGGAGTCCGTAAAAAGGGGATATTCATCATTCTGTTTTGTATTTCAGTAAAAATAACCAAATCAAAAACAGCATTTTCAGGTTGCCGCGATATCGTTTTTCTGGACAATATGGCGTTTTACTAGAGTGTGACGTAACACGACTGTTATTAAAACGTCAAACGATACAATGTAATGTCATTTTAACCGGAAGTTTACTTGCGTGTGACGTCATTTTAGGCTCCGCCAATCCCAAGCGTTTTGGGTCACGTGACAAAAGATAAGAAAACTATTCTATCTTTTTCGTGGGTTTTTAGTAAAATTATGAATATTTTTTTTGTAAAAATAGTAAAAACCCCTGCCAATATTCATTCTAAACACAGATGCTAACAATTGGCACTTTATTTTAATACTGTCAAATACCCTATTGAATGCAGTTTTCAGTTATAGAGAGAGTGATTTAAAAGGAATATTTATATTTGAAATAAAAGCTTGACAGCAAGAACTATAGTCGTTATTGAAGCGAAAGTTAGGGCGGGTCACTAGTATGTATTATACATAGAATATACTGGACCCTCAGACGTTGTCCTGCCCCAATCAAAAAAAAAAATCCTAGAACTCTATTGCACTGCCATATACCGGCATCAATTTTGAATCAAAACCATCCTGGGAAACCACACACAGAATTTTGTCAAAATCGGTCCAGTTTTGTCCATGTCCCCACTGCTGGGGCACAGGCCTGCCCTATGGATGGGATAGGGAGATTAGGCCATGACCCACCACGCGAGCCCAGTGCGGATTGGCGGGTGCTAACGACTGCAAATGCAGCCGGGGCCAACGGCTTAACGTGCCTTCCGAAGCACGGAGGAGCTCGAGATAGTAAATTTTTGGTCACCCATCCAATGAACGACCACTGCGAAAGTTGCTTAACTTCAACGATTGCATCCGAACGCGCTAACCACTTGCGCCATCGAGCTCCTCAGTTACTTGTTAGTTTACAAGAATTAAATACATAATGGACTTGAACGTCATTTTTAAGTCGTCAATCAAAAAGTAGTGATTGATTCCTAATTTCTTGTTAATTAATAAACGAACTCTTTTGCCCTCTCTTACTTTTTGTGTGGTTTGAATTGCACTGTAAATTTTTTTTATCACTGAGTTCTATATTATAAATTTTACATGCCGCATTATATAGTCCTCAAAAAAGTTTACGCAACACATTGTACGGTCTCGAACTTTTGAACGGTTTTTACAATTCTAATATATTTATAGTACTATACTATATAAACACAATCGAAAAGTGTCTTATTTTTGATATAATTCCATTATATTTTCGAGAACAAAGGAACATTGTATCCTAATCTACTTTGCGAAGAATAAAAATAAACATCAATTGATAAAACAGACAGTTTCTGTAATTGATGCGTGTTGCTTAAACATTTTGAAGTGAAACTTCTTTACGCACGCCTGACTTGGGGGGTAAGCTGGCGAATGCGTTACGCGTTACGAAAAGTGTGTACGGGCGAGGCGAACGGGAGTTGAGTGGGGGATATAAGCAAGTGAAAGCAGTGCGCGCGCACCTTTTATTTCTCTCTTTCTCTTATAGCTAGTAAATGTAATATGTATATGTTCATACATGTATATATTGTACACACATACATATATATATATACATACAGATGGGGCTAAAGAAGTTTCACTTCAGTCATGTGGTCATAAGCATACTCGTTTTTTTAATGTGTGTAGAATGTCGTTTCTATTACGTTTAATATAGGCATTCCGAGTCCTCCCCTTTTGCTATATAATCCAAGTGCCTATCTCTCGTTAATGCAGGGGGGATACGCGACCGTAGGACGAGCACCTCGCCCCGCCCTCCCCTCCACCGACACGCCCCCTACCGACCCCGAGCAACATCTGCGGTACGAGAACGATCGCCTCAAACTAGCATTGGCACAAAGGTAAGTCTAAATTATATACACACAACGATATTAAATACCCTAGATACACCAACACGAACAAAATCATGCCCGAAACCTGCCCAAAAGGTACATTGGACGATCCACGGAGCTCCGTAAGATGATCGCATAGTCTAAACAATATAAGTCGTTATTTAAACATTGAAAATCACCTTTAAAGCACACTATATAAGGTCTTAATCAAAGCGCATGCGTCAAAGAGTTGTGACAGTCCGAGATGTAAGCTCGTAAAATTTTACGACTTATTGCTATATGCGGAAGAATATACACCTTATTTTTTGACTCTACGCGCAATTCTGAATGCGCTGTTAGCAGTACAGCAGGTACGGACCGCGAGGAAAGAGACGGCTATATTACCGACCGTGCATTAGAATATCACAAATATTTTCTATTAAACCAGTGTATAGTATATATTAAAACAAGTAGTATAGTATTAGAACAAAATTTGCTTCAAATGCGTTAAATTAACAAACATTGATGAGATATCTCGACGACGACGACCTCCGTGGCCGAGTGGTTTGTACGCCGGGTTTCATGGTGTCGCCGACTCGAGAGGTCCCGGGTTCGAATCCCGATGGTGGCAGATGTTTGTGTGATGAATACGAGCATTTGTACTCCAGTCATGGAGGTTTAATATGTATTTCTATATAAATATACTTATATATGTACAGTATATGTATTCCATAACACAAGCCTTACAGTGCTTACTTTGGGGCTAGGCTAATTGGTGTGAGTGTTGGAAATATTTATTTATTTATTTTATTTATCTGTCGAAAAAACGACATTTTACATACTATAAGTATTCATTTCGCATTTTTTCACGGCGCTCAGCGGCATGTTGACTTTCAACGGTCCGCGCGTGACTGTGAACCAAGAAGTGCTTGAGTAGTGTTCAAGCACTTCTTGATAGGGATACATTTTGAACGCACGTACTGTATCTAGGGTATTTAATATCGTTGTTTTACATCAACATTTGTATGAAAATGATATATTTCTCAAAGGAATGAAAAAAACAGTCTGAAAAAATCAACGAATTATTGTTATGACTACGGACAATATATGTGTTAAGATGACTGCTTCAAACTGGCGCTTGCGCAAAGGTAAGCTACTACCATAGAGTACAATGGACTTAGCGACACTCACACGAAAATGACAACTCTAGAAAGAGTGAAAAGAAAACCCTGTTGCTACGACTACGGACAGAATATGTGCTACTATGTAGCGGCGACATTTACACGCCCCTTAAAATAACTAAATTGAGGAAAGACATCACTTGCTTTCTTAAAAGATGGCGCTGCTGGCTATGCTCTTAATAGTAGGAAATCCTAAATCGTGCTTTCGAAATTCGGAGTCAATACAACTATAAATACGATGCCCAACCAACATCTCAGTGGAAGATTTTCCCTTATAGCCTTCCTACATTGTTGGGTATCCAAACATAATATGTGCGCCTCGCTCACCAATTGTTCTCTCTCTCTATTCCCCTCTGCCCGTTATCTATCGGATTCTGGAGTAAGTAATTAAGTGACTTTCAATTATCAAGATTTAACAATAAGGATAGAATTAACCGAGCGTTGGGAAAGAGCCAAAAGATAGTTGAGATAAAAGGTACATAAATACACATTAAAAATTTACAACAACACCTCACACTTGTAGAGTCTGTGCGGAAAGAGAATGGGCGTGGCGAAAATCGGAACTAACATTAAGATTTTTATTTGGCAATCAAACCCAACAATCTGTAAAACGTCAAAGTTTCGTATTGATACGGATATGTTTGTTGTTGTGATTTCTTGCGGTTTTTTGTATTTAATCATTTCTAAAAGGGGTAAAACCTTACAAATACGGTAGATAGGCACTACAGCGCCCTCCATTGCTAAATCCCATTCTTTTTCCGTACAGACTCTAGTAACACCATACATATAGAGATTGTAGAGGTGATAAGCGACACTCGCACGAAAATGACAACTCTCTAAAAAGAGTTAAACAACAATTTAGTTAAAATTCACAATTAGAAAATGGGAGTCGGGGGTTTTTGGCGGGATTTCATCGAGTGCGGTTGGCATATTATTTTAATTATTCTTAAATTCGTTTATAGTGGATATTGTGAAATAAAATTGGTGTGGTTTTGTGTAACAACCGTCTGCGTAACTGAAGAATTAGTGGAATCGTTAAAATATACGCTATTCCGGTCAAGTGGACGTGAGAATTTTATTATAGTGTTGACTACCTCACAGAAGCTTATCGGAAAAGCCAACTCGATACATTTCGTGCCAAACACTCCAAGAAACATTAGAATGCGTCGCACCGACATTCTAATGTAAAAAAAAGAAAATTAATTTAATTAAAGACCAGGCTGTATGGGCATTGTTCCCTTTGCCTTCCCTAAAACGGGAGAATTTCAACAAAAAAAATGGGAGTCGTAGCATGCATAGACTATGGATAACATCTGTGCTACGAAAAATAGAGATTCTATTTTGCGATATCAAAAAGGCAAAACTTCATGTTTCTACCGTTAACCGTGATGTTTATTTTTTTGGAAGATAATTAATGTTTTTTGGAAGAACCAAAATATATGAGGTACTACATAGTAACTATGTATTAAAACAGCACATACAACATTCAAGATTTCAAGATGAGTTTAAATGAGATGAAAAATTTACACTAATGTAAAATTAACCGGTGATGGGATGGGGTGGATGGTATAAAGGGCCATGGTATTGTTTTAAAGTAAATTTTTAAGAAACAAAGAAAATGTCCTTTCGATAATTTAAAGATTTATTTATCAATCGTAAGATTTTTGTACAACACTTAAAAACTACGCAATGAGAAACAGTAACAGCACAGTCTTGGTAACGAAGTTATATAATACTAAATCCAACTTACACAGCATACAATTAAAAGTCACAGGTAATGGTCCTATGGGTCATTTTAGTTCAATTTGTGTCAGTCAGTTTTGACAGGAATTTTAAATTCAGGTAGAATCAACTGCTGATTGCATTTTATAAATAAATGACTGATTCTTTCCAAATGCACGATAATCTCTTGTCTGACTTCCAATTTACAGTTATTAACTTGAATAAAGGATTGACTTTTTTCTTTCTGATAATTTCTAAAAATGCATTTTATCAAGTTTAAACATTTTTTTTTCCATATCTGAGGAACATGAGATGTTTATATACAAGTTCATTTCCTTAAATCAACAGATGATTACAATTATCGTTTACATTCGAATTTAAACCAATGTTTTTTTGGATTGTCTTCGAGAAAATTATGCATCCTAAAATTGACTTTATTGCCTAAAGGTGTCATCTGTCCAATATAGACAAGATGCTTAAACTTGGTGCTTTTTTTTTGTACAGAAAACAAGTGACATTCAAACTAAAGTACCTAAAATCGACCTTATTTGGTGAGATTTAATGCTTATAATTAATGCCCATGTGTAGGTTGCAAAAAACATTTGTTTCGCGGCCTAGAAACAAGAAATTAAAATTATCCTAAAATCAACTTTATCGTCTTCGTGTTAATGGTGATATCCGCCCAAAATAGGTTGGAACCCGTCATCATTGAAATTGTGGTTGAACTCGGGTTGATAATGGGGTTCCACGTGGGTATATTTCTGTGGTTGGGGTTGCGGTTTGTACTCGCTGTGTTCCTTAGGGGTGCCGATCTTATGGACCACTGCATTGAAGCCGTTCTTGTCATCGGCTTCGTATTCTACCACGCGTTTGGTGCCATCCGTCTCCGTGAGTGTGTAGGTGCCTGGAATGTAAATTGTCATCATCATCATCAGCCTATTGATCTCCCTACTGCTGGTGCACAGGTATTGCCTACGGATGGAATGGGGAGTTTGGGCCATGATCCACCACGCGGGCCCAGTACGATTGGTGGGTGCTGACGACTGCAGATGCAACGGGACCAACGGCTTAACTTGCCTTCCAAAGCACGAAGGAGCTCAAGATAGTAAAATTTTTTTGGTCACCCATCTAATGACCGACCACTGCGAAAGTTGCTTAACTTCAACGATCGCAGCCGAATGCGCTAACCACTTGCGCCATCAAGCTCCTCAAAATGATCATCATTTTATATTATTATCATCAAACTATCAATTTCTTTTATTTATTTGTCTGAGCCTCATGCCGTTCAGTAAACTGTACAGAGTTCGAGCGCTCGTCTGATGAGGGGCCTTCATATTGACTGTAGCCAATTGACACTATCACTCCATGTTTTGTATTCATGCAGTGAATAAGGATCAAAAACCCGCTTTTTTAAATAAGTAAACTAATTCCACTGGTCTGCTTTTGTATCAGTTTCAAGAACCCCATTTACACATAGTAGTTTAAAATTAAACTCGAAAAGCAAGCCTTTCGCAATCCTAGGTACTGCAACTGACTGGACTATTTTGATGGATACATATGAAAAGCACTTTAAAATACCAGAGGATATTGGTGTTTCGTCATCCAGGCCGGACATATTTCTCTATTCTAGGCACATCAAATATATAGTACTAATAGAGTTTACTGTACTGGGAAACTAACATCCCAAAAGACCACACAATAAAATTGAATAAATATTACGATCTAGCCGACGAACTCACTAAAAATGGTTATCTAGTTAATTTATATGCGGTAGAAGTAGGAGCGAGAGATATACTCTCAAAATCTCTCTATAACCTTCTAAAAGACCTAGGCCTGTCGAGAACTACAGTAAGTTAAATTTTGGAATGATTAACTAAGGCTGCACTAACAGGCTCCTATCAAATTTGGCTAGGAAGGGACTGCAACTCGTGCAACTCGAGCAGTGAAGGTGAGCGTTGACACGGTAATGTTATCTATACAGTATTGTGACTCCGCCCTGTCCTTGAAAATAAATGCCTACGGCCGAGCGCTGCGTTAGCACGCGGTAGGGCCGCCCGCCTACAGTATTTTATGTAGTTTTGTTTTTAATGCGAGTCCCAATCCTAACCACTTATTTATATATTATTT